TGTTGAAAAAAAAACCTGTGATGATTAACTTGACTATAAAAAAAAAACAACTTAGAGCAATTTACTTATAAAAAAATTCTCAGACAAACCTGTACCATTTCTTTCATTGCAAAAAGTTACAGGCCTTTGAGGCCAATCTTAGCTGTAGAAAAAAATCCCAGAGAACAACTTTTTTCTGGGAAAAAAAAATCCATAGAAAAAAATCTTTTAAGAAAAAAATTCTCGCTCTACTAGGGACAACTACAGGGTGAGATCAAAAACAGCAACAAAGCCAACCGCCATAACTTTTTAAATTTTATTTTTACAAGCCCACGATTTTGGCGCTGCAAGTCCTTGAACCAATATTCTTTAAAAATTCACAATTTTGACCTTGATATACCTTTTTTTAATTTTATTGAATGGAAATAAAAAATGTCGGAAATAGCATCAAATTTTAGAATAAGTTTAGATTTGTTCGAATTGGCCACCTTTGGCGCGAATTATGACCTACAAACGGCCAATGAAACCGTCACACGCTGACCGAATGTTGCTCTGCGGTATTTTGGCCCATTCCCGGCGAAGCGCTTGCTTGAGGTTATCGACACTTTGGCATTTTTTTGTGCCAATCTTGCTTTCCAAAATACTCCAGACACAATACTCCAACGGATTGGTATTCGGAGATTTTGGTTGTCATTGTGCGCTGGAAATGAAGCGAGGAACCTCGTTTTGTAACCATATTTGGGTGGCGCGTGTTGAGTGCGATGGTGCTGAGTCCTGTTGGAATTGGAAGTCCAAGTTCTGCGGCCAAATTGTTTGCGTGCCCAAGGCTTAATATACCCTCCAGAATATTTTCGCGATAATATTCGGCATTTATTCTGATGCCACGGTTTGCGACGACTAATACGAGCAGAGAGCGACCATCGGCTGTTATGGCGGCCCACACCATCACCATGGTCGGCTTGAGGTTTGAGTTCTGGTGGCCAACCGAAGGTGCACTTTTTCTTCTGACCTCTCTGGCAAGTAAACGCGATCACTTTGTTTGTTTACAAACTGCTGGAAAAGGAATATTTTCTCATCGGAGAAAATCTGAAACCAAATTCGGCCACTTCACCACTTTCGGCCAAGCGAAGCAACTCTTTAGCTCTTTTGAGTCTATTTTCTTTCCGATGCGGTGTATGTTTTTGCACTTTTTGGAATTTCAATGGCTTTACCCCGAGGAGCTCATTTTTCAATATTTGCCGAATGGAATATTGTGATATGTTCAGCTCGCGAGCCATTTTTCTGCAACGCGGGTTTCGATCAAGTCGCTTCTTTACTTTTCGAACCATTTCTGCTGATGTTGCTGGTTTTCTTCCGTCCATTTCCTTGACGTCGGGCTACGCTACCAGTATCACGGTAACAAGCGATGGTACGAAACACAAAAGATTTATTCACATTTAAATGCCGGAGTGCTCTAACGATAGCCACTTGTGGTTCTCCTGCCAAATATAAAGAATCACACTAACACACTTGAATTCCATCACGAATAACTTTTTTTCTGGAAAATTCTCACCAAAATGCTTTTGTGCGCTTGTGAACGATACAATGAGCTGTTACTGGTATTTAAAAGCTGACGGACGAGTGGCTTAGAAATGACAGCAGTCTGAAATTGCTTGCAGTTTTTTCATCTCACCCTGTATTTCCACAATTTTTTTTTTACTTAAGAAAAAAATTCTTCAAACAAATTCGACTCATTATTTGTTTAGAGAAAAAAATCCTCAGATTAATTAAATAAATGTCTGCATTAGAAAAAAAATCCAATTTTTTTAACCCTGTCAAATGGCAACCATTTAATTTATTTCTATTTAATTTTTTACCACATAAAAAAAAATTCAATTATTTTTTTATAATTTTTGACACAGCACGTATCATACATTTACAACGGCAATGATTTTGATTCGCATTCATTTTTTTTTTTGATTTTTTTTTTACAAAATTGTATTTCTCATCGCTTGCACTTTTGCATGCAGTAGTTGTTGTCAACTCACGGCATTACATTGAAGACTTTGGACTGGGTCACTAATGCTACGCACGACGTGCAGTAGGTGGGGTTGGGTTAGAACTCTTTTTTTTTTGAGCAGCCACTGCTGCTGCTGCAGTGTCGACAAATAAATCACGTAGCAGCTATAGAAATACAAAAAACGTGTTCGACAACATTTTTTTATTAGATTTCAATTTGATTTTAATCTCCTCCTGTATGTCTTCATTTTGTATTATGCAATGCAGAAACATGTATGTATGCATACACACACACACACGTATGTGTATGTGTAGACACGTGTTTACACATGCATACCAAAGAGCAAAGTATTTAGGTGACTACGGTTTTACAAATGACAAACACATGAATTTGAATTATTCTAACTAAGGCAGGGTAACATGGGCGTACGGAAGAAAAAAATCTTCTGCTCAGGGCATCCTGAGGAGACTTTTTTCCACAGGAAAAAATCTGCTCAGGGCTCCCTGAGGAGACTTTTTTCCACAGGAAAAAATCTGCTCAGGGCTCCCTGAGGAGACTTTTTTCCATAGGAAAAAATCTGCTCAGGGCTCCCTGAGGAGACTTTTTTCCATAGGAAAAAATCTGCTCAGGGCTCCCTGAGGAGACTTTTTTCCATAGGAAAAAATCTGCAAAAAAATTCCTCAGGCCAGTGAGGACAGTTTTTTCTATAGAAAAAAATTCCTCAGGCCAGTGAGGACAGTTTTTTCTATAGAAAAAAATTCCTCAGGCCAGTGAGGACAGTTTTTTCTATAGAAAAAAATTCCTCAGGCCAGTGAGGATAGTTTTTTCTATAGAAAAAAATTCCTCAGGCCAGTGAGGACAGTTTTTTCTATAGAAAAAAATTCCTCAGGCCAGTGAGGACAGTTTTTTCTATAGAAAAAAAATCCACACGCCACTGAGGACAGTTTTTTCTATAGAAAAAAATTCCTCAGGCCAGTGAGGACAGTTTTTTCTATAGAAAAAAAAAAAATTCCTCAGGCCAGTGAGGACAGTTTTTTCTATAGAAAAAAAAAATCCTCAGGCCAGTGAGGACAGTTTTTTCTATAGAAAAAAATCCTCAGGCCAGTGAGGACAGTTTTTTCTATAGAAAAAAATTCCTCAGGCCAGTGAGGATAGTTTTTTCTATAGAAAAAAATATGCTCAGGCCAGTGAGGATAGTTTTTTCTATAGAAAAAAATTCCTCAGGCCAGTGAGGACAGTTTTTTCTATAGAAAAAAATTCCTCAGGCCAGTGAGGACAGTTTTTTCTATAGAAAAAAATTCCTCAGGCCAGTGAGGACAGTTTTTTCTATAGAAAAAAATTCCTCAGGCCAGTGAGGACAGTTTTTTCTATAGAAAAAAAATTCCTCAGGCCAGTGAGGATAGTTTTTTCTATAGAAAAAAATTCCTCAGGCCAGTGAGGATAGTTTTTTCTATAGAAAAAATATGTTCAGCCCAGTGAGGATAGTTTTTTCTATAGAAAAAATTGGTCAGGCCAGTGAGGATAGTTTTTTCTATAGCAAAAAAATTCTTCAGGCCAGTGAGGATAGTTTTTTCTATAGAAAAAAATTCCTCAGGCCAGTGAGGATAGTTTTTTCTATAGAAAAAAATTCCTCAGGCCAGTGAGGATAGTTTTTTCTATAGAAAAAAATGTGCTCAGGCCAGTGAGGATAGTTTTTTCTATAGAAAAAATGTGCTCAGGCCAGTGAGGATAGTTTTTTCTATAGAAAAAAATGTGCTCAGGCCAGTGAGGATAGTTTTTTCTATAGCAAAAAAATTCTTCAGGCCAGTGAGGATAGTTTTTTCTATAGAAAAAAATTCCTCAGGCCAGTGAGGATAGTTTTTTCTATAGAAAAAAATGTGCTCAGGCCAGTGAGGATAGTTTTTTCTATAGAAAAAATGTGGTCAGGCCAGTGAGGATAGTTTTTTCTATAGAAAAAAATGTGCTCAGGCCAGTGAGGATAGTTTTTTCTATAGAAAAAAAATGTGCTCAGGCCAGTGAGGTAAGTTTTTTCTATAGAAAAAAATTCCTCAGGCCAGTGAGGTAAGTTTTTTCTATAGAAAAAAATTCCTCAGGCCAGTGAGGTAAGTTTTTTCTATAGAAAAAAATTCCTCAGGCCAGTGAGGTAAGTTTTTTCTATAGAAAAAAATTCCTCAGGCCAGTGAGGTAAGTTTTTTCTATAGAAAAAAATTCCTCAGGCCAGTGAGGTAAGTTTTTTCTATAGAAAAAAATTCCTCAGGCCAGTGAGGTAACTTTTTTCTATAGAAAAAAATTCCTCAGGCCAGTGAGGTAACTTTTTTCTATAGAAAAAAATTCCTCAGGCCAGTGAGGTAAGTTTTTTCTATAGAAAAAATTCCTCAGGCCAGTGAGGTAAGTTTTTTCTATAGAAAAAATTCCTCAGGCCAGTGAGGTAAGTTTTTTCTATAGAAAAAATTCCTCAGGCCAGTGAGGACAGTTTTTCCTATAGAAAAAAAAATCCTCAGGCCAGGGAGGTAAGTTTTTCCTATAGAAAAAAATCCTCAGGCCAGTGAGGTAAGTTTTTTCTATAGAAAAAAAATCCTCAGGCCAGTGAGGATAGTTTTTTCTATAGAAAAAAATTCCTTAGGCCAGTGAGGTAAGTTTTTTCTATAAAAAATAAGATCGTCAGTGCAATGATTATAGTTTTTCCGACGGCTCTGCCTTGAATGTCCACACCATGTCATCGTAATCCATGTTGCAACATTTCAATTAAATTCTCACTTGCTTCATGTTGTTGTAGAATGTGTTTGGCTAAAAATTGAAAACGTTCGGCTTTTGGTCATTTAGGCTAATAGGAAATTACCTAATTTGGATAGGAAGATATTTCCTAAGCCAACACCATCTGAAGTGTCTCAGAATTTTTTGTTTCGGAAGAGAATTACATGTCCGGCTAAAAATAAGCTTTGATTCTAGTTTATGTTAAATGGCCATGAAATGGTTTTCCGATTTTAAAATTGAGGGGGAAAAAGGAAAAGAGTCTACTTACATAACACATGGGCGAGGGCGTGGATGAGCTTGTATTTCCGGTTACCATCAGGCCATTCTTTTTACCATTGCCGCCCAGCAGCGATTGTTGAATGCGATTGGTGCCGTAGTACATTTCCCAGATGCTGGGCTTTTTGCGATGCCATTCGAGGATGGAATCCTTGTCCTGGGGATCTGAGGAGTCGTTGGGTGAGTTGGAGGATGAGGCCGAGGCACAGCAGGAGCCAGAGGCAGAGTTATCATGTTTCCTCACACTACCTGTCGTTCTGGGATTATTTAGCTTCTCAAAGTTGCTGTTGGTGTCGTTTTCGAATTGTTGAATACTGGCCTGGTGGAAATTCAGGTTTCTCTGGAGCTGTGACCCACCACCGGGCAGAGGAGGCAGGGGATCACTTTGTCGCTCCATGCCGTTGCCGAAGGTGCGCAGGGTTTCCACATAACACTCGCTAATGGGAAAGACTTCGGTCAGGGATTTCCGTTTCATTTTGAAGTTCGGGTCACTGGCACACTTGATGGTGGTCACCTCCTGGCGTATGCTAATGGGTGGCAGACCCGATGTCTCATACGTGGATAGATGATCACTCATATCGCTGAGCGAACGCCGCCTTTCAAAGGCATTTTTCATTTTGACTATATTCTGATTTTTCACCAGACCCGTGCAGAGTTGCCGTATCTCCAGCTCGCTGTGCTGATTCATGCGCTGCAAATAGAGTTCGAGTTCCCGTTTCAGCGTTCCGATCATGGTGTGCAGCTCCTTGGGGATATATTCGTCCAGAGTCAAATGATTTCCCGTTGGTGCTTGAATTTGGCGCCTTGATTGGGCGCCACTGGGAGGCTCTTGCGTCAAATTGAGCAGACGAATCTTGTCACGCACATCCTCAAGTAGTTCGCGGGTATTTTGAAAATGCAGCTGATCCTCATAGCGTTTGGGATACAAATCACTGACCGAGACCGCCACCGACTGTTCGGATATGGAGCTGCGGGCGGGGGCTATGATGTCGCTTTCCACACGATAGGCATCCTCGGGACAGGAATTGATGTATTTGGCACATTTGTAGTGGTTCTCTTCTTGTTCCTCGGACAGAAAAGTGGGGTTGTCGATTCCCAAGGCTTTGGTCTTAGCTGGAGGTAGAAGTTGTTGGTGTTTCGGGTTTTGTTTCTTGTCCTTTTTTCCAGCCTCATCCAGGAGAAATGAATCCAAGTCAATGTCGATGAGGGAATCATCGGTCACGGGATCTTCGGACCAACCCCTTTTCAGGGTGCCAATGGCAGTGGCATCATAGCCTTCTCTGATGGTGGGTAAATGGGAATAGGAGGCTCGAATTTTCTCTTCTCCCCGGTGATGGGTTATGGCATCTGTGACTCCTCCTCCCACTCCCCCTGCTGTTGCTGCTGCCGCGGACGATCCCATGATCATGCCACGGGGAAATGATTTCAAATGGCGATCCAAGTTCTCAATACTACTCTCCAGGATACGTAAATTCTCCTTGAACTCCTTCGATGAGGAAGAATTGGAGGAGGTTTGGGGGCCATTGAAGCGACACAAAGATTGTTGTTGCGCAGCATTCGCCTCATTGCCTGGCTTTTGATGATCCGCGTACCGAAAGCGTCTATTATAGTCGAGAGTACGCATAACACTAGCCTCATCATCATCATCCTGGCCACACAAAGTTTCACCATTCCCAGCCAATGGCTTTTCATTCACCATTTTCCCCTTTCCACTCTCAGACGGGTGGCCGGCAATCAGGTTTGCCTTATGGCCAATTGCCATTTCTTTCAACTCAATGGTTGGCTCACTGTAGATGTGTTCCTCCAGCGAATAGGTGGAACACACATTGGAACTGTAATAACCCGAGGAGGCACTTTTATCGGTGGAATAATGGGACTGATGGGAGGCTGCCCGGCCGGGAGTTTTTGCCAGTTTTGGCATTACCTTGAATTCTTTGGCCACCTTGGAGGAATCATCCTCATCTTCTCGATGAATTTCCACAATTTCCTCGGAACCCAAGGAGCTGAGGCTGGAGGAGGTGGTTGAGTGTTTTTTCATGCGTCCAGCATTGCCTCCACCACCTCCGGATCCTGTTGCCAAAGTCTGGGCCATGGCTAAATTATTTGTGACTGATCCGGAATTCGATGGCATCACCGATGCAGGGGAATTTGTTGTTGTTGTCGCCGGTGTTGACATTGACTTTGAATTGTTGTTGCTGCTGCCACCACCTGCATTCAAAGTGCTGCAAAAACAAGAGAAGAGAAATTTGTAATTAATGAGAGTTGCAATAAAAGAGAGTGAGAGAGAAAAAAGAGAGAGGACATGTGTGAAACTACAGACACCACAACAGGCCACAAGACAAATTGCCGATGTTTTTCGCCCGTCTGTCCATCAGTCCGGTTGTCTGTGTGTCAGCTTTTCATTGAAAGGAAAATTTGTTATGATTTGTTTTTTTTTTTCCTTTGTTTTTTCTTCGTATCACAAAACGAAAGTGGTTCGACTGGATGCAATGGAAAACCAGTCCAATGACAAAATGTAGGTTAGTAGACATTTTTCTTATTTTATAATTGCTGGCGGACAAGGAAAATCGCTTAGCGAAAAATTTGTTTTGATTTTTGAAGAATGTCAACAATTTGTTTTGGGAAAGTCATGAAGGAGGCTTTTTCAGAGATCAAAACAGGCTGGAGAGGCAAAGGAAAGATGTCATTAGTCGAGATGATGAGACTTTTCTATACTACTAACCTCAGGGACCTGAGGACACTTTTTTCTATAGAAAAAACTAACCTCAGGAACCTGAGGAGACTTTTTTCTATAGAAAAAAACTAACCTCAGGAACCTGAGGAGACTTTTTTCTATAGAAAAAAACTAATCTCAGGAACCTGAGGAGACTTTTTCCTATAGAAAAAAACTAACCTCAGGTACCTGAGGAGATTTTTTTCTATAGAAAAAATTAACCTCAGGGACCTGAGGAGATTTTTTTCTATAGAAAAAATTAACCTCAGGGACCTGAAGAGATTTTTTTCTATAGAAAAAATTAACCTCAGGGACCTGAGGAGATTTTTTTCTGTAGAAAAAATTAACCTCCGGGACCTGAGGAGATTTTTTTCTATAGAAAAAATTAACCTCCGGGACCTGAGGAGATTTTTTCTATAGAAAAAATTAATCTCAGGGACCTGAGGAGATTTTTTTTCTATAGAAAAAATTAACCTCAGGGACCTGAGGAGATTTTTTTCTATAGAAAAAACTAACCTCAGGGACTTGAGGACTTGAGGAGACTTTTTCCTCAGGGACCTGAGGAGATTTTTTTCTATAGAAAAAATTAACCTCATGGACCTGAGGAGATTTTTTTCTATAGAAAAAATTAACCTCAGGGACCTGAGGAGATTTTTTTCTATAGAAAAAATTAACCTCAGGGACATGAGGAGATTTTTTTCTATAGAAAAAATCAACCTCAGGGACCTGAGGAGATTTTTTTCTATAGAAAAAATTAACCTCAGGGACCTAAGGAGATTTTTTCTATAGAAAAAATTAACTTCAGAGAACTGAGGAGATTTTTTTTTATAGAAAAAATTAACCTCAGGGAACTGAGGAGGTTTTTTTCTATAGAAAAAATTAACCTCAGGGACCTGAGGAGATTTTTTTCTATAGAAAAAATTAACCTCAGGGACCTGAGGAGATTTTTTTCTATAGAAAAAATTAACCTCAGGGACCTGAGGAGATTTTTTTCTATAGAAAAAATTAACCTCAGGGACCTGAGGAGATTTTTTTCTATAGAAAAAATTAACCTCAGGGACCTGAGGAGATTTTTTTCTATAGAAAAAATTAACCTCAGGGACCTGAGGAGATTTTTTTCTATAGAAAAAATTAACCTCAGGGACCTGAGGAGATTTTTTCTATAGAAAAAATTAACCTCAGGGACCTGAGGAGATTTTTTTCTATAGAAAAAATTAACCTCAGGGACCTGAGGAGATTTTTTTCTATAGAAAAATTAACCTCAGGGACCTGAGGAGATTTTTTTCTATAGAAAAAATTAACCTCAGGGACCTGAGGAGATTTTTTTCTATAGAAAAAATTAACCTCAGGGACCTGAGGAGATTTTTTTCTATAGAAAAAATTAACCTCAGGGACCTGAGGAGATTTTTTTCTATAGAAAAAATTAACCTCAGGGACCTGAGGAGATTTTTTTCTATAGAAAAAATTAAACTCAGGGACCTGAGGAGATTTTTTTCTATAGAAAAAATTAACCTCAGGGACCTGAGGAGATTTTTTTCTATAGAAAAAATTAACCTCAGGGACCTGAGGAGATTTTTTTTCTATAGAAAAAATTAACCTCAGGGACCTGAGGAGATTTTTTTCTATAGAAAAAATTAACCTCAGGGACCTGAGGAGATTTTTTTCTATAGAAAAAATTAACCTCAGGGACCTGAGGGGACTTTTTTTGTATAGAAAAAACTAACCTCATAGACCTGAGGGGACTTTTTTTGTATAGAAAAAACATACCTCAGAGACCTGAGGGGACTTTTTTGTATAGAAAAAACTAACCTCAGAGACCTGAGGAGACTATAGAAAAACTAACCTCAGAGATCCGAGGACTTATTTTGTATAGAAAAACTCTCCTCAGAGAAAAAAAATCCTCTGAAACCTGAGGAGTGTTTTTAAGTGATCTAATTATCCCTAACGTTTGTTTTTCTTTGGAAAAAACTGTCACCATGGATTGTATTTCTTTCCGTAACATTTCTAGGCCTTTAATAGAATTATTGTATATTTTGTTACCTGAACTATATTTGTCCAAAATTTGCGTAATTTTTCCAATTCTCCCACACCTGATTCTAAACCTTTAACGAAGAAGGTCAAAATTGAACTGAAAACCATTGGCAATATTTCTGCAGCCATTGCTTGTTTACCGTTAGCCATAATAACAAAAAAAGACCTATTAACATAACGGTAAATCGAACTTAATTTGCAATCGAATTCACAGCGATGACCTTTTGCTTGTCACCAACACCTGCCATCTGTCGTCTGGCCCCCAAACCATTGAAGACAATTCACTCCAATAAATTTGAGGAATGCCACACATGAAACAACTGTCATTCGACCCTCGTTGGGTTGTTGCTCTGCGGAATACTAATCAGATAATGTAAAATTTTAGTTTGAGACGTGATTTTTTTCCAAGTTTTGTTTGAAATGCATTACCTCCATTTTACGCTGTTTAGCCATGAACTTGAAAACAAAGTTAGGGGAGGTTGGTGCAAAAAATAAAAACAGAGCAAATTTCCAAAAAACAATGGCTAATCCAAAAAATATGTTTTTGTGATTCAAAAAATCCATCCAAAACTAAGACAGTGCTGCACCCCCGACGACAATAGTTCTGATTTACTAAGAATGCTAATATCAAGCCATCGCTCAATTTTGGAGTCTTCATTCGAAAAATATGCAAACAAAACTTCAAAAATTTCCAGACCGTCAGAAAAATGTGAAATAGCTTGGCATTCCAGCCACACCATTTGCAATGCCCGGCCTGGCATTGAAGAATCGAGAATATATCAAATACACATTTTAAACAAATTTTAAGACATACAGGGTGCGATAAAGAAAAAACAACTAACTTCAGACTGCTGTCACTTCTAAGCCACTCGTCCGACAGCTCAGGAAACTGAGGATTTTTTTTCTATAGAAAAAACTCTCCTCAGGAACCAGAGGATTTTTTCTATAGAAAAAACTCTCCTCAGGAACCTGAGGATTTTTTTCTATAGAAAAAACTCTCCTCAGGAACCTGAGGATTTTTTTTCTATAGAAAAAACTCTCCTCAGTAGCCTGAGGAATTTTTTTCTATAGAAAAAACTCTCCTCAGGAACCTGAGGATTTTTTTTCTATAGAAAAAATTAACCTCAGGGACCTGAGTAATTTTTTTTTATAGAAAAAAACTCTCCTCAGTAGCCTGAGGAATTTTTTTCTATAGAAAAAACTCTCCTCAGGAACCTGAGGATTTTTTTCTACAGAAAAAAACTCTCCTCAGGAAACTGAGGATTTTTTTCTACAGAAAAAAACTCTCCTCAGGAAACTGAGGATTTTTTTTCTATAGAAAAAATTAACCTCAGGGACCTGAGTAATTTTTTTTTATAGAAAAAAACTCTCCTCAGTAGCCTGAGGAATTTTTTTCTATAGAAAAAACCCTCCTCAGGAACGCTTGTAGCGTAGACCGACGTCAAGGAAGTGGACGGAAGAAAACAACAACATCAGCAGAAATGGTTCGAAAAGCAACTTGATCGAAACCCACGGCGCAGTGGCCGAAAAATGGCTCGTGAGCTGAATATATCGCAATATTCCATTCGCAAATATTGAAAAATGAGCTCGGGGTAAGGCCATGGAAATTCCAAAAAGTACAAGAAGTTACACCGCAACAGAAAGAAAGTAGACTCAAAAGAGCTAAAGAGTTGCTTTGCTTGGCCGAAAGTGGTGAACTGCCGAATTTGGTTTTCTCCGATGAGAAAACATTCGTTGTCCAGCAGTTGTAAACAAACAAAATAATCGTAGTTACTTGCCAAAGAGGTCAGCTGAAAATGTGCACCTTCTTTTGGCCACCAGAACTGAAACCTCAAGCACAGGCCATGGTGATGGTGTGGGCCGCCATAACTGCCGATGATCGTTCTCCGCTCGTATTAATCGTGGCAAACCGTGGCATCAGAATAAATGCCGAATATTATCGCGAAAATATTCTGGAGGGTGCACTAAGCCTTGGGCACACAAACATTTTGGCAGCAGACCTTGGACATTCCAACAGGTCTCCCCAGGACGCCCCATCACACTCAGCACGTGTTGACCAAGAATGGTAACAGAAAGAGGTTCCTCGCTACATTTCCAGCGCACAATAGCCACCAAAATCTCCGAATACCAATCCGTTGGACCATTGTGTCTGGAGCAAGGATGGCACTAAAAAAATGCCAAAGTGTCGATCACTTCAAGCAAGCGCTTCGCCGGGTATGGGCCAAAATACCGCAGAGCAATATTGGCCGTTTGAAGGCCATAATCCGTGCCAAAGGTGACCAATTCGAACAAATCTAAACTTATTCTAAAATTTGATGCCATTTCCGAATTTTTTTGCTTTCATTCAATAAAATTGAAAAAAAAGTGTAAAAATTATGACGTGTGACTTTGTTGAAGTTTTTTTTATCTCACCCTGTATTTACTGAGATTTTTTTTCTATGGAAAAATGTCTTCTCAACTTCCTGAGAAATTTTTCTA